CGAAATGAGCCATGGCATAACGCTCCGTTGGGCCCATCCTATCGAGGCCTTTCATCATCCCATTTCTTTGACACTATGGAAACCATTTATCTCATGCAGGCCCATGCGTCTTCTGAGAGTCTCTTTAAACTGCCCATCATGGGTTTAGGACAATCCGCCCGTCGTACCGTAGGGCCCGTTGGAATCGGCCCTCCTTACACACAAATGTTTCATGCTTCGGAGTCGCGATTCCGGCGGCCTCCGCCTCACCCGCACACCCATGACAATGAAGAAATGTAAATCAGCCTAACTCAACATTGGGGTAAATAGGAAAGTGGGAAGGCGGGGGGACTGGCAGGTGAGGGGTCGAAAGCAAGCCATATGTCTAGGGGCCCACCATTGACGCGGGACGGCAGAGAGCAACAACAATGGGCCCACCGGGTGATGAGCGTTGTGATGGTGGATGGTATAGGCGATGAGCGATGGGCGAGCATAATTGCGGTGAGTATTAGTGGCAAAGAGGGAAAGGTCGTTTGAGCATCATCCCGTTGCGGACTGGTTGTGCTGGGTGCGATGCACGAGTCCTATTTGGTGTTCTGGCAGGCCGCATCTGATGCTTGGGAGGTTGGTTCCCATGCCGTTGATTCACCAATTTGGGAATCGAGTCGATGGTTGTTAATTGCCTTTTTTGAAAGCAGTTCAGGCCCACGTGCAGCAAGTTTGACATCTTCATGTCTGTCTACGCTCCGCACCGGATACACGCCACCTCCGGTATGAGACGGCTGTCAATCCTCGGCGCGAGGTCCTCTGGAGACGAGGCGGGAGCTGGCCTTAGGGCGCCGGGGCTCTTGAGGGGGTGTGCCATTTCTTTGGTGCCTATCTGTACCATTACGGTCGGGGGGTTATGCTCATCTGCAGACCCGGGTGTGCGTGGGCTGTCTGCCAACATTGCAGTAGTGATTGTTGGCAAAGTCTGGTACGCCAGTGCTGATGTACCTGATACACATGACTTGAAAATGACGGATGTACCGGTACTTCGCAGGCCAGCTCCTGACCGGGAGTGAACATCCATGCACTGTCTGCATCGGAACATGGAGCATGGAGATCATCTAGAGATGGGTGTACGCAGGCGAGATCTCGATAGGTCAGCGGCGGTGAGAAGGCATGGAGAGAAAAAAAGGTAAATAAAAGTGTGAACGATCCAGGTGTGTCTGAGGTCTTACAACAACAAGGATTGTAGGAGGTCCAAGCGGGATATTGAGGTCTGCTGAGCTGTGTGTAGCCAACAAGCAAGTACGGCAGCGGCCGAGATGTGAGACCATTTAGAGACGGGACACAAGCTGTCATCTAGTCAAAGCGACATTGGGCGATTCAACGGCAGGCATTGATAGACCCAGAACAAGGGCATGCTCTGCGAGATGATAACCTGAGGCAACTCAGCCTCTGCCCAAAGTCGACCATGATTTTGAGCGGTGTGGAGTTGCTGCCTGGGCCACGGTCCAGAGTCTCAAGGCGCGGAACATACCAGGTTACCTGTCTGTGCCCAGATCGGTTGGTCCGCGCGTATGATTGTGTTATCGGAAGATTACAGGTGCCGAGTATACATGCCCTCTAGGCTATCTTGACGGTTGAGAACAGGATGGAAAAGATGGGACGACACCTGGCGCTATGGTTAAAGATGGAGGGTAAGGTATGTGGTGTCCCTTGTCCAAGCAATGCATGCGTCAAGCAGGGACACGTTTTTCCTGCCGCTTCGGTTTGGAGCAACATTTAAGGCGGCATTGCAGGATCCCGTTGAAGCATGTGTACATCAAACGGTCGATTGACAAATCCGGCGACTTGTCCGTAGCAGCTGTCCAGAAGAGGCAACTTGGCAGTTCCGTAGGGAGCCAGCTGTCGATGACGGTGGTGTTCGATTTCGTCTGGTCTTTATCTTGACTACACGTCATCATCGTCATCAAGTCTAGGTTGTCGTTGAAGGTAGCGTTGGATTGAAAGAGAGCACAAGGACGTCGCCCGTCAATCTCGAGTAACAGTCGTGTTAGAAATACGCGGGCATAACGAACACAAGAGACTGATCGATTTAGATCTCAAGTCACTTAGGCTCCTGGTAACATAAGCTCGAAATGCCAAAGCCAACAGTATGACATCTGACTTGAGCCTCATGTCCACTAGCCTCGTTGATCACAACATAGAATCGACGGGGCAAAAGAATGCGCTCTGACCGAGCTAACCGTTAAACCCTGAGACGCTCATCTAAGTTCGGCAGCCGGAATCACCATCGGCCGGTTGGAAGCAGTGTGGATCGACAATGCCGGCCGAGTTCAACAGCCCTGCGAGGCGGCTCCTTTTTTTTTTCTTTTTCTTTCGTCCCTTAGTCTCAAGCATCGTCAAAGCTTCGCGCTTTAACAATAAAGTTAGACCAGTAACCTCGTTTGTGTATGATCGTCCGGATCTCTAGAGTTGTGGTCCATGCAAGGAGGATCATCCACGTCATCGTCGACCGAGGTCTAGACGTTCAGAAGGGTGGTGTTAGAGATGAACTGGTGGCTCGAGATCAGACGGTACAAGGACGGGCTCGGAAAGACGAACGAACAAACGAGCCCTTGTGACGACCAGGAAGGTGGGAGAGAAAAAGGACGATATCCGTCAGCCCTGACTGAGAAGCCAAAAAGTCAAAAAGTATGCTGCGCATAATCTTTAGCAGAGGCCAAGCCGCAGGGGGGGTTGATTGATCGTCAGAAGTACCCCGCCAAGATGATGTCGCTAAGCCTTCGGAGCCGGAACGGGTGACAAATAGACCACAACACGGAGATTGCTGAAAGGTGGCTGAGCAGTTGAATGTGTCTCGCAAGGTGCTTCATGGAATGGCAGTGTTCAGATGGAAGTAAATTCTTGCTGAAGAACGGGGGGGTCCGAGTTTGACGTTCCCAGCAGACAAGGCTGGATGGAAGGGAAGGGGGCCAGAATGGTGGAGAGGGAAAGAGAGTTTGGAGTTGGGTACTTGGGGGGCAGTTGCCTTACTCAGTAACAGCACACACACAGCAGTGGTGAACAGGTGCAACAAGCAGGCACCTACCCTGGCTGGGGCCCAGAAAGAACTGTCCCACCGGCAAGGACATCGCGGCCTGTCATTGCCTCAAGTTAATTATTCCCCGTTACATGCCTGTAGATATTATCGTTATAGCAATTGGAGACAATATCCAACCCTTTCTGTTTTTTCAGTTATTTGCGCTTCCTCTTTCCATGGTCTCACCAGCAATCATCTATCTCCATCTTCCATCTCCGTGCCCTACTCGTCCCCCCCAGTCGCCAGCAGGGTATTTCACCCAAATCTTGACCTTTTGACATTTGACAGGTTCCACTTAGCAACCCTCCCCTCGAAACTCCTCACCGAATGGCAGCCTACATCCAGTAAACTTCAGCTTCGCCTCATCTCAGTCTCCAACCAGATCAGGGGCAAACTGACTCGGTATACAATATATCCCCTTTCACGTTTCAATGATGTTGAAGAAGAAAAAAAAACCTTAAACATTATCATCACGGCCTTGCCTCGGCCCGGGTTTACCTGTAGCCTTCCCCCAATTTCCGCCACAACGGCCCCATATACCCAATCCAAACCACCACATAATTAATGTGCCGATGGTAAGGCTTGTTAAACTTTTGATTTCGCTCCCGGTACCCAGACGCCATCTAAACTTTCTGCACGCAATACCGAAGTGACACACATACAAGACAAAAAAACATTGCCGCTCCATTTTCTTCACTTCACAAACGGAGCGGCTCAATTAGACTTTGCTCCCCCCATACTAGACCCGAGATGAACGACAACCAAGAGTCATTACAAGCCCACTACATCTAATTCAATTCCCTCTTCTATCCGGAACCACCTCCGCTGTGCTTCCCTCCAATAATTGTTTTACATCATGTCATCAAGTATCCCATGGTCCCTTTGTGATAGACCTCTCTCTCTCTTTTGTTAGCCCTGTTTTTTCCACCTCCCAACAGAAGCCCCAAACACCAGAACGGTGCATCCCGTCAAAGCGACCTTTTCCTCTTCTTTCGTTTTTTTCTGTTTTTGTTTTTTCCCTATTTACCTTCCGAATCTGTCCGGCTTTGTCAGCCGTCTTGTTTCAAGTAGCATTTGTGGTGGGGCCTGGTTCTGGCAAAATCCAAAAGTCTACCGGCCAGTGTACACACACCCCCTTCCTCCCCCTTCCCCCATTTCTGACCAGGGCATCCAAAGGGTGTCACAAAGGGGGGGCAGGGGTTAAACGATGCCCAACTGAATGCCTCCTACTCCCCCCCCCCCCCCCCCCCCCCCAGAACTCATATCCGTCCGGAGAATGTCAACAACATTCCCGGTCCCGGTACTTGTTCCTTGCAGTGTTTCAAGTAGCAACCCGCACCCTCCCGCACAACAACTCCCGTACTTCACATACTGGCACCCAAATGTCAGAACCGTGCGCCAAAAAATGCACATGACAGATAGATGTAGAGACTTGAAATTTTTTACAAAGGAAAAGAATTTTGCTAAGAATGATAATACTACTTTCTACACTGCCGGTTCACTCGCCCCGTTTGCCTGGTTGTCCACCGCTCTCCCATGCAGGTGTGCTGTAATGCTGCCTTCCTTGCCTGAACCCAAGGGTATCTCCTTCATAGTGACACCGTAAACGCCAGATTCTACCCAAGTGTTGCCCGTCAAAAAGAAGTTCCCTATGCCGCCATGTGGCCACCGCTTCTAGAAAGTCAACAAGTCACTTCTCTTCAACAATCCCCAGAAGCTGATCCAAACGCTCGCCCAAGCTCCTGTCCAGCCCCTGACCCAGATCGCAATCCTGCATCATATTTTTGTCCCCCAAAAGATTGTCCGTTCCCAAACGAGGGCTTCTCGATGCCCATGTATTTGTCTGTAGCTGTTGCTCATCAAAGCCTTTATCGTTGCCGTCGGCCAGGGGCTTGGGATTCCGAGTACTGTCCAAGGTACCATCCCACTCCGACAAGCCAAGATATTTCTCCTAAAGGCCAAGTCCAGTCATTCCCGGCACTGGCGAAGATGGTCTACCCATATCGTTCTGCCACTGCAAATCCACATAATTAGCAGCATGGCCGTATTGTGACGCTTCCGCGTTTGTTAAGCGCCCATAGAGCGGCGGGCTCTGAGTAGCTGAGTGCGGGTTTTGAGAAGGCATGGTTGTAGAGGTAGGTGTGAGAGGTGTGTAGCCAGAGCCTTTGTAGTTACCTACATGTGAAGACCCGCTTGTGGTAATGTAGTGCGAATACGACTGCACATAGGGGCTACTGTAAGTGCCGTCGTAGTCGCTGATATAACCTCCCATGCGCCCTTGCGGAGACTGCATGCCCATGGTAGTCACAACCTCCATGTTCTGGCGTTGCCGTTTGACTTGAAACTGTTCTTCGTAGTCCAAGCGCCCTCTCTTCTGGTCAGAGTCCATGGCCCGTTGAATGTTCCGCTTGCGGTTCGTTACCACGCGTGAGTCTTTTCGAAGCCGAAGACGTACGCCTTGATCGCTGAATTGGCGCGTCAACATGGTGCTTTCCGTCATTCCCGGGAACGTTCGTTGAGTGTGTACCTGAAACCTTGAGGATTCAATAGAGGTACACATAACTGCTTCTAGGTCGCGCATTTCGTACAGAAAAAATCGCAGCTTGTAATAACCCTCGGTCTTAACGGAGATGTCACCAAAAACGAAGAAGCCGCCCTCCATACCAGCAGAGTCTTTAAGCTTGTGCAGTGAAGACACTGTGGTGCCATGGAGGGCTTTGTGGCAGTCCACATCCTGCTTGCCGCTAGGGTCGTCGTTGATCAAGGACACATTAACGAAGTAATAAGGGCTTGAAAGGCACGCATCAGGTCTGCCATACACGTTACGATCAAAATCCCTTTCGTTAATGATTAACTGGAGAATGGGGGGCGGATCGATAGGTTTACGATCTACGGATTGAATATTAGCGATAGATAGCAAGCAGTTGGAAGCAACGAACACACCTTTGTCCTTTCCACCAGCTACCTTGGCATGCTCTGGCTCCTGGATTATCTTGAGGGTAAGGCCGCTGCCGCTGCTGGTTCTATTGTTTTGTCTTGTCAGTTCCATTTCTAATCATGTTGAATTAGGTTCTTTCGTGGTTCGGAGCTACGTACGTATTCATCTCCAGTCCTGTCGGAAAAGAAGCAACATGATATGAGAGATTGTGATGCATGGCTTGGTTCGACATTGTGTGCTACCTTGGTCACAAGAACTGTCGATCAATGTGGCCAAGTGATTGGTTGCATGCGAATTGGTTGTAACAAAGATGGAGAATCGAAATGACGGAAGACCAGTGTCTTCCCTTCCGTAGAACAAGAAAAGGTTCCTTAAGTAGCCTCGAGAGAGAGACACCGGAGAAAGATCCACAGATACTTTCTATAGCCAAAGGTTTGAGAAAGCTTGATTATCGCAAAAAGCCAAATGGTCGCCCTTCTGCCACGTGAGGTGTAAAAATGGGTGGCAAGGGATGTCGAGAGATGCCTCGTGGTTCGGAGCCGAGAAAAAAGACTCTAGCTCTTTGGCGGCGGTGGAGATGGTGGAAGGTTATGGTGATGATGGTTCGTCTGGTATCAGGCAGCTCATCCGAAGTGCAAGGTTTGGTCGGATCGTCCAAGAACCAAGGTTGAGCCGAAATCAAAACACTGGATGACTAGTGGTGAAATACTTTGTAGCCAGAAAAGAATATGGAAGAATATAACGTGTGAAGAGATGATGTGTCGTCAGGGTGTTGATGACCAGTGGTGTGGCCTGTCGAATATTTCGTGAGATAGAAAAATGATGGAGATAGAGCAAGATTTGAACGATGGGAGAAGAAGGTTTAATGCAAGAAAGGTAGCTTGCCGGCAGGACCCCTGTTACACGATAGAAAGGTGGATGGAGCAACTGCGCCTAAGGCCCCCTTGTACCTAGCGGTTGCTGCTGGGGGTGAGGAGTGAATGGAGAGAAACGGAAGTGCCAGATGGAGATCCTCTCAAGCTGGAGACGGAGTAAAGCAGGGTTGCGCCTGGGGGGGGCTCCTGATCGGACTGTTCCTGTATGGAGGGGCAGGCAAGAAGTGACCACCACAGGATTGGATGGGCGGCTCGATGCTTTTTCTGCGCAACTAGTCAGCAACAGCGGTCTCTTCTTTTCTGATTGCCTCGTCGCTATATCACGTACATGTGGTATAGGCCAGGTATGTTCTGTCTATTGGCAGAGCAGCACCGCACCTCTCCTTTTGGTCCAGGCCAAGTAAGTACCTTGATCCTGGAGTACCAGACTTGGAGGTACAACGGATGCTTCCTGTTGGCACAAGACTGCGGGAAGCGCCACGCCCTTACGTTCGTAATGGGGCACGTCGCGCTGTGGATAATCCGAGTCAACGGCCAGGATCGTCATGCGATCAACAAGGCGCCACCTGAAGAATTGCTATGTTGCTCTTCTCCTGCCAGGAGATGGGTGACGTATCGTTAAGTATGTTTGGCAAGACAGGATTCGTGTGAGGTAAGAAGGCGTCTCAAGCAGGAATGTTGAAGCAGAGTGACGATGAAGGAACTGTCCTGGGATAGAGGGATGAGCAGGATCTGATATAGCGTTACAACAGTCGAACTCTCGTGGGCATCAGACGGTGCGTGGAGTTCCTCGAGGTAAAGGTCGTTCAGGGGGTCGCATGAATGGGCGTGTAAAAGATGGAGTCAGCGGGACAGGAGGAGAAGGAGGTGTGAGAGATGCGGCAAGAGTGCAGCTAAGAAAAGAAAGATCAGGCAAGCGGACGGAGGGGTGGTGTGCCCTGAGAAGGGCAAGGCAATGGTGGTTTGCTGTGCTGCGCTGTACCTGGGTACCTCGTTGGAGGGGCTAGAGATTGTCGGGGAATTCAAAGGCGATTTGATAGCGATGACGATGCAAAGAGGGACTTCAGACCCATGTGTGGATGCCGGACGGTCTATACCAAGACGAGGCAGCTCAGTTTGAAATGGAAGTGAACAAGGCTGGTAAGGGGTGTCGGGACAGAAGAGTAAACGGCCGAGTAAAGCAAGGTGTGATGATACCTTATATCAGGGTGCGAGATCAGGCCCTGGTAGGTAGGGGAGAAGAGGAATCCCTGTGCTGCTCTGGTCTGTGCTGCGAGGTGAATCCCTTGGCGTAGTTGTCCCCTCCCCTGGTCAGTGACAGTCGGCAGGAGGCGACTTGTCAAGCGATGACTTGGGGGCGGTCAACAAAGCCAAGTTTCGAGCACCCTGGAGCAGCTTTGAGAGAGTGAGAGAGAGAGGAGGGGGGGCGAAGGGGCAGTGAGCACCTAAGCAAAGTGTACAAGTTGCTGCCATTCAACGGGGCGATTTGAGATGGGAGGAACTGAATATGCGTCAGCGTATCTTACTGACTTGACGGTATGGCCGAGCAAGGGCTGGCTGGTGGCTTCTGCAATGTCCGTCAGACAGCAAGGTTGAAGATGATGGTTCCCAGAAGGAGCCCAGCTGGAGCCAGCAAGAGAGCAATGCTCAAGTCGACAGGAGCTGCAAGGTGCAGTCGAGTTGAAGCTGCATAAAGCACGGAGATGGACGAAGGACACAGGCCACTTTAGGTGGTACTTTTGGGAGGACTCGAAGAAGGTGTCGAGGTCGAAGGTCGAGGTCAAGCACCGTAGTGGGCCTCGTGTAAGGTTGCGCGAGGCCAGGGAATGCAACCGAGAGGAGATATTGGACAGGGAAGCTTAATGCGGGTAGTTGAAGGTTGGCAGGTAAGGGGTCCTGCAGTAGACGATGTGGTTGAGCTTGGTGAAGCCTTTTTTGCGGTTGGTAAGTCTGACTGTTGAGGCAGATAGAGAGCGTCAGAGAGAGAGAAGATAGAGAGGGACGGCAGATAGGCGAACAGTACGGCAAGTAGAATAAGGTGAAGCAGCCGGTCGATGATTGCAAGTGTGACATACGTGGATCCTCGGGAGGAGAAATTTGGTTGACGAGATGTTCTTATTGCCTCTGTGGGCTGAAATGGCCACTACGGGACGGGCAAGCTAACAGTTAGGAGGGAGAGATGGCTCGAGATGAAGTCTGCAGCGTTGGACTGTGACGAATGAGTGAACGGGCAAGTGAGTTGAAGCAGGTACAAACAGCATGTACCCTTTACCTACCTGGTCTTACCTTAAACGACGTGGGTAGGGAAGGGGCGTTCGGATGGATCACGGCGAGATGGCCGGCTACTTCCCATTTCAAGGGGAATGTGGATATACCTGGGAGAAGGTACTTCTGGAGGTTGGACTGGGTTCTGGGGGCCAGTCACGGAAGTAGAGGGTACCTGTTCCGTGCACGGCAGGCAAGGAGACTGACGACTGCCTTCCCATAAGGCACCTTACCTAAGTTGGGTTGGAGGTAAAGAAGGAGAGGTGAGGTTGGGAAAGGCAGGTGCACCCCGTACATACTAGCAGAACCCGCTCCATGCGTCCGAGGAAGTATCGCACAGCTGGTTTTGAGTATTAAGGTACATGCCCAGATTCATATTGCCTCCTTCACCTCGACACCTTCCTAGCTGTGGTGTCGACTCGTTTCCTTTCTTGGGCTCTTTACCTCACATGGCAGCATGCCTCGCGTAACCTCACCTGCCTTGGCCATGCGAGCCTAACATGTTTAGCTCAGGGATAATTGTGGAGGAAAGAGTAAGAGAGCAGAAGGTAAAGAAGATGGTTTGGTGAGGTAAGTGATAGGTAGGTAGATAGGTAGGCAAGTAGAGTAAGGTGGCAGACAGGGTAGCTCGGATGGCAGGGCCCGCATGCAGACATCGCCAATCCATTATCCATCCTTACCCCCTGTCACTGCCTGCTTGGTGCCCGTCTTGCACCTGCACCCGAAGAGGATCCCTTGTGCACGCCCACATTCCATTTGAAGTCTTCATTATCACATAAGGGGCGACGGTTATCAAGGATGTCGACGTCCAAGCACCTCGACAGTCTGGTATTGGAGAAGATTTGCAAACAATGAGCTTTCCGTATGAGCGGGCATCTAGTGTGCCCCCCTCTCTGATGCAGGTGCTTTGACTGAAGAGAGCCATTCGTTGCCCCATTGTATACCAGGGGGGGAGGGGGAGGGGGGTTAAAAGATTGAAAAAAAAAAAAAAATAAGAATAAAAAAAAAGCCTACATAGTATTCGTACGTGTGAAAGAGGAGGGTATGGTCAAGGCGACCATTGGGGGGGGGGGATAACCTGACCAATTACCCACTTATTTAAATGAATTATGGGTCTATCTGACCAATTTTATGATTGGCTGTATTGAGGTGAAGTGGGTCCACCTGACCATGGAATTTTTAATCGGTCAGGTGCACGGACCAGTTACTGATTGCGTCCCACTACTGATTAGGGTGCATACCCCATATTAATATTTAAATCCCTATTCTATTCTGATTCTCTTCCTTTTCCCTCCGTAACCCTTTCAAATCGTATGCGCCCCCCCCCTCCCTGGCGCACCGATTCCTAATTACTTCCGAATCAGTTCAGAAATCCGACATCATGCCTTCATACAAGGATTCTGTAAGTACAATGGAATCGGTTTAGGATCGATTCAGAACTGATTCAGAATCAGGACGATTACAAGACCTACAAAGAAGGTCTTCTCCAGGGCGGCAAGAACCACCGCATGGAGGATCTTCCTCCCTTCGAGTTCAACGAGGTAAGTGATTCAGAAGCGATTCCACAACGATTCAGAAACAGTTCTGAATCGATTCAGGCTGGCGAAGTCAACTCTACTGCCGCTGGGGTGGTAGATCCAGCAGCATCACGTGCACCAAGGTAATTCAGAATCAGTTCCGGATCAGTTCAGAACTAATTTCGAATCGATTAGACGGAGCGGTTCTCGAGCGAGTCGAACCTCAAGAACCACATCAAGAAGCACAAGCTCGACGGGGTCCCGGCCAAGGTTAAGAGCCGCAAGTCCGGCGCGAACTCCGTCGAGGAGAACGATGATGCAGCTGGTAAGTGATTCTGAACTGATTCTGTACCGATTCTGAACTAGTTCTAAACTGATTATGAATAGAATTCTACGACCGCATCCACGGCATCGCCATCGGCGCTCGCGATGACAGCGAGCTGCAGACTCCTTCCAAGAAACGGAAGGCGCAGACCCCTCCCCCCCTTCTTGCCGTTCGGAATCGATTCTGAATGCTTACGAAACTGCTTTCCGTTTGAGATCATACTGTAGTACCTCTGTTCGTAATGCTTCAATACTTTGCAAGATTTCTGGGGTAACTTTCTGATGCTTCCAGCATGGAAGATTCTGATCGAAATAAGAGCATGCCTTTCCACCTGTACAAGTGTAAGTTGAACGTAAACAAACAGCATTTTGAAGGAATGCTGAAGTCGTCCGTTTTGGTGGGAATTGCCGGGCATGGTTGTACTGAATCTGTGATGTAATTAGTTCTGAAGTAGTTCCGGATCGATCCCGGATCGATTCAAAAGTAGTTCGTTTACCATTCTCCAAGGCGATTTAATATCCTCCTCATTTAAAGTCCTTATATCAATAACATAAAGGACTCCATTCTCACTTGTTTCTGGATATTCTATAAATGTAGGTAGAAAGATTACTTTTTGAGCAAGTACATGAACATCCCTGAGGCTATTATGCCCAGAACGGGTTGCCTCTGATGAAACAAGTGTTGGAGGTATTTCTGAATCGGTTTCGAGTTGATCCTGAATCGATTTAGAACTAATTCCAAAGTCGTTCTCATATATCCCTACCTCCTCATTTACTGGTAAGCCAGACTGGGCCTGGGCTGGTAGTTGATAGTAAAGATTTAAGTCTTCTTCAGCTTCTGCATCAAGACTAGTAGGTTCTAATAGAGGACTTATTCCCTCTAGGCGAGGGAAGAGATTTTCAATCGATTGAAGAGCCATTGTAAATCGATTCGGAACGGATTTGGAAGCGTTTAAATGTCGTATGTTCTTACAAAAAGTATGTCAAGGGTGAGGTTTCAAACCGCGCTAAGGAATTTCAACCTGACCATAGCTAACTAGCTGACCATGGTCAGCTGATCTCAGGGTAGCCCCACAAATCACAAAATAAGTGGGTAATTGGTCAGGTTATCCCCCCCCCCCAATGGTCGCCTTGACCACACCCTCGTGAAAGAGGTATCCCTACTTTCCCTTTCCCCCCTTGCCCCCCACTGCTTGGCCTAGTCTACCACCCACCGCCCGCTCTGTTCATCACCCAACGTCAACTACACATCCATCTTGGTGTCACCAAGCAATCCAGGCCAAGTCAAGTTCAGCTAGTGTCTACATAGTAGGGGAGTCTGCCCGCTGCCACCCTGACGGGATCCCTGACCCATGATCCTTGGCCCCCGGCCTTGACACTTGACATCCCTGTACCGTGCCCGGTCCGGAAGTCCACCGCTCCACTCGTCTGTCTGTGCGCGGCGGAAGAAGCAGTAGAAGCAGGCATCAAGGCATGAATGGAAGCATCTGAGACACTGCTTTGACGATTCTCGAATTTCTTGGGATCAAATCTCCTGCTGGCCATCCGGGGGGGTTGTTCATCATCACGCACATCAACAACCATTCTTCGCTCAGCCCTTGCTCGGTCAAATCCGAAAATCTCCACACGGAGGCTTTACAGATGAGAACACGGGGTAAACCAGGGCACATTCTGGGCGAGCAATGCGATTCTTTGCTTTTTCCATCTTGGGGGACGAAGAGGGGGGAGGGGGAGGGAGCAGGAGGAGAAGGACAAGGTGGAGGGGTGAAGGCAGACGATGTTGATTATCGCGTCTGGCCTGGACAGCCTTCTTAGGCAAGGCCTGTCGTTGTCGGTCTTCCCTTCCTCATCATTCTTTTCAGTACTCCAAGGCAAGTATGTTCCTCCGAGAGTGGCTCATCTGACAGCTGTCACTGATCCTGGCCTGAGCTTGGGGGGAGGGGGACCGCTCTTGCCCTGGAGTACGCCTTCGGGCTCCATTTCTGACCTCACCTCACCAGGGACCGCCCGAACACGCACCCTGCCAGCAATCAAGCTGCACTCCATTATTGTTGTTTCCAGACCAAGAAAAAGAACATAGCAAGGCTCAAGGAACGGAGGAGCGACCTCTTGCCCACTGTTGTTGTGTTACCATATCCTCACGTCAGTCGGTAGACCCCCACAATTAGCACGGTGTTTCAACAAGACAGGTAGGGGACCCGTTACAGTGCGCAATGACAACAGGAAAAACATTGGAGTCCACCTTTCTCCTTCTACGTTCTCACAAACCGTTGATATGGCCCATCAAATGGCTCCACTAATCAAAGTACGTACCTTGCATTCAGGGCCCTTTCCCTCCGGTCTGACGATGCTCATTCTCTCTAAGTGGTCCTGTCCTGTCTTCTGGGGGGCCGCTGTGACTCTCTTCTCTCTCTCCCATAGCCCTCTCGCTCTATCCTTGGTAGTGTCCGTACCCCCAGCCCAGTATCAAAAGATCCTGTCTCTTAATGTGTAATGTCTCCATTGGCCGATTGCACTGAGCCAGAGGTGGTAAGTACTTCGCCGGATCTTGAGTGCTTGGGCCTCCTCGACCTCCTGGCCAGAGGTCTTCTTTCCTACCTGCCGCCCCCGTTCGGCTCCTCTGTCGTTCCTCCCCGTTATTTTAATCCCAGTCTGTGTCCAGTAAGAAGAAAATAAAAAATAAAATAAAAATTAAAGAAAGAGACAAACGCAAGTAGGTAAGGTACGGGCGGTTAAGTGTCTAGGCAGGTACAGCCAGACACAGGACACTAAGCCATGCAAGAATCCCCACCTAATCAAACAATGCCGTTGATATTTCACGATGCATAATTGCATTATTCGTTTGTCTTTCCTCCTCCCTCCCCTTCTTCCTTCCTTCCGTTTCCCCCCTTCCAGAATTTCCTTTTTCTCATCGAACAAGTAAAGAAGCTTCCAACCTTCCATCGCTTCACCCCCTCGTCATCTCCTTCCCCTGTCACTGTTACCTTACGCCTTTTCGTCCATCAGCGTCGCCTCGGCTTGCTTCTCAATTCGTCATCTGCTCCAGCTTTCATACAGCCAATTGCATTTGCATATTATCGATGTTCTTCGGTACTTCTCTTATTCGACTGCGGCAATATCCGACATCCTTCCACATCACTTCGGAGGTGCTTCCATCGTGAGCATAATGCTGTTCGCTGCCTACTCGACATCATTGATAACCTCTTCGAAGCTTTCCCACCTCGCTCTCGCTTTGTACTCAATCTCCGAGCGATTGTCTTGGAAACTGTCAAATCAACCACTCAGTATATGGCAAATGGACCTTCGCATGACGGATGTCGGCACGGCGGAGATTCCCTACTCTTGGCACGAACACGGGAGGCCAGACAAAGTCCATAGGAAGAAGGGGGGGATCTCTATCTTCGTCTCCTTACAGACCCTTCTGCTTCATAGTAACCACGCCGTTTCTATCGTTTATGGCGGTTCGAATCTTCCCCTTGGGCGGGGGCATCGCGGGGCGATGAAAACAAGTCCTCTCCGTTTTCGACAGAGCCAAAGTCAACAAACACCCGACATGTGCCCCTTCAAACGGGCGCCACAAGGCTGTGCAATCTCGAGTCACTCCTAGACTCCTCCTGGCCTCCTTATCGCTGAGGACCCCAGCACGTTGCCACTGATGTTCACCTGTTGACAGCAACTCGACCAGGACGCGCCGCACCAAGGCTTGACACGGAGGTGTTGTGCTGCACTCGCTGGCATGTCACTGGCCACTGGACAAGGCTGCGGAGCCAACAGACGTGCGCAGAATGTGGGCATTGTTTCGCGTCCGCTTGAACATCATCCCTGGCGCTGCTCCTCGCTGATATGGCGGCACAACTCTATTCCATGCCTGAGCCCCCCCCTGCTCGCCGACCTCCACGGCAAAACGGGATGGCATCATCCCCCAGATTTTCGCTGGCGCCTGTTTATGCATTAACTCGCCGTGTACATTTCGCACGCGCAATCATTCTGAAAATACTTCGAAACGCCCCTGCAGCCCATTCTGGACCCTACGGTATGAAGACGGTTCCCTTGACAGGGCGTCACCGCCCTCTCTTCTTCGATGTAGCAGCATACTGAGACGACTGCCCATCATCTGCAAATCCCCCGCTGCCACCCCTCTGCAGGACCCTTGCTTCTTTCGGGTTTGTGCCACTTCTGCGCTTTGTTGATTTCAAATACACATCGTCAACTATCATATTCCTTCCTTTGCCGCATTGGAAGAGGGGCTAGAACCCAGCAATAATCGCATGATCCCAAGCCATCATCGATGCATCATTAAGCCTGGAAAGCGGACCGGTCAGCCTCCAAAAATCTCCCTACATACGTATGCACATTTTCGATGTTTTGCGGTGCCAATCAATTTCTCCACTCTAGCATTATCAAAATCTGTGTCACCAGCCGCCTTTTTCTTGTCCTCTCCGTCAAGCTCGGAGTTACTGCGTTCCGCTGGGCTATGCCGCCCATGGCATTGACACGGGAGTGATCCCAGCACACAGTTCATCCCTAGATGGAATCATTGCTCATCTGGTAGCTGAACCACCTTTGAACTACCTCTGGACCCCGTCTGAAGTTTGATTGGTGCCACAATGGCACAACCGCTCGCGGGAGCATCAGTCACAATTTATGCATTTATGCACTGAATGATGGCCAACATCCGAGATTCAGCATACGGATCCCGCACCGGCCGGTAAGATCTGTCGTTCCAGTACGAATAAGCCGTCCCAGACGTTTGTGGCAGGGCTCGGATGCCGGCAGCACCGCGAACAATGCCCGAAGGGATTGTGGATTCCCTGGGAAGTTTTGCTACCAAAAATGCAAACCGGGCACGACATTAAGGAGAATGAAGCCTGCTTGACACATCACCTACGTGGGCGACGTTTGGGTTAGGTCCAACAGCTACCCGCAGACCAACTTGGCAGTATACTATTCAAGCTTCAAGGTATGTCAGTTAGCATGTGTATCCAGTTGACAAGAGAAGTAGCCCATCTGCACGCAATGCCGGAGGTGGCAAGCTTTCCCGCCACACCCCCATCGTTGTAGCTTTTCTGGCCCACTCACTGCCGCTACACTAATTTCGAGCTACCCACAACCCGATGTGGCTGGCTCTCTCGCGGCAAACAGGCGGCCGCGAAATTCATTTAGATGCGATTGGGCCGATACAAGTGTCCAGACATCTAGATCTGGCGTTATGCATGCATAGTCCTTGCCTCGACAGTTCGCTTTCGGATGCAGCATTTCGGGTTTGATCTTTTCTTTACTCAATCGATAATAAATCTCGAATCGTAACGTGAGTCATCAAAGTGATTGACAGGATCTATGACTACCAGTCGATTTCCGAGAGCAAGCAACCCAGGGAGCCCGTGATATTTGCTGCATCATGCCGAGCTTGCATCGCGTCATGTACAGTTTTGCAGTGATCCCGCTTATTATGAAAACTGAGGTTCAGGGTTGCTTGGTCGCCTCGCCCTCCGTCGAGGTCACGTCTGCTTGGCTATCGACCGGCAGCGTGTCCTTGATGAGCCCAAACGCCGTCTTGTCCAGCTGATGGGCAACTGAGAAGAAATTCGCTACGGAGGTATTGCCGAATCAGATACCAAGAGATTTGCTAATCTCCCGCAGCCCTTCAATCCACGCAGTATCACTGTCGCGTGAGGAACACGAACATTTGCCCGTGCGTGAAGACTTTGTCCTCAATCACTGTGACGGCGTACGGCCAGTTTCAGCCATGCGCCGTCTGAAGAAGAAGAAAAAGCAATGGTTTGCAACCCCATTGAGCGGCTTGCGGCGAGCTGCGCGATGATACATCCTGGGTTCCTTCCCGCCAGCCAAGCTACATGGAGGGGACGTTACAACATGATGAAGTATCGCGGCCGATGAAGACATCATCTACGAAGTAAAT